CTCTCTCTCTCTCTCTCTCTCTCTCTCTCTCTCCCCCCCCCCGTGTGTGTGTGTGTGTGTGTGTGTGTGTGTGTGTGTTTTGCCTGCGTGTTGAATGAAATAAGGGCACGACCACTCCATGGTATGGTTGAGAAGGTTTTTATTGCAGACAAGAGGGAGAGTACATCCAGAGGCTCTTGGAAAAATCCAGATTGAATACAGTGAGCAGAACAGACCGGGCCATGAGAGGAGAAAGAAGGGGGTAATGGTGACATAAGAATGGAGAGAAGAGAGGAGGAGCAAAGGAGAAGGGGCAAGAAAGGAAAGAACCAACAGAATCTAGCGAGAGAATGTGGCTGAAATGGCAGGGTTCTATAGGAAAGAGAAGTTAGGCAAGGGAGGGAACGGGAGGAGATGGGAGGGAAGGGGAGGAGAGGGGATGGAAGAGGAGGGGATGGGAAGTGAGAGAAAGTCAAGTCCCTGGGCAGGATTAAAAAGAAAGCTGAGAGGTGCCATGGGTACTGAGTGAGCCTGGAGGCCTGTGTGTGCTTTGATATGCTAATAGGCACCACAGTTGGCCATTTGTCCCTAGTTTCTTGGGGACCTGACACATGTACATGTATGTATGTATGTGTATGCATGTGCACCATGTGGTTGCCTGATAGCCTTCAAGCCTCAAAGAGGACATGGGATCCCCTGGAACTGTATTTAGACTCCAGCTGTGAGCTACTCTGGGTGTGGGGAACCAAACCTGGGTCCTCCAGAAGAGCAGCATATACCTACTGAGCCGCCTTCCGGCTCTTTGCTTTTCTTTCTTAAGAAACAGAAATAGAGACAGTATGTGAAGAAGAGGAAAGCAGGCCAGATGTGGAGGCTCAGGTCTTTAATCCCAGCATTTGGGAGGCAGAGGCAGGTGGATCTCTGTAAATTCGAGGCCAGCCTGGTCTACATAGTAAGTTCTAGGACAGCTAGAGCAACATAGCTATATAGTGTGTCCCTGTCTCCAAGTAAGTAAGTAAGTAAATATAAAAAAAGAGGAGAACACTCCTACAGATGAGAGTGGACTAGTATCCGTGGACCATAATGAACTAAAAAACTGTAAGAGTGTTTTCAAGGGCTGGGACTGTAGCTCAGCTCAGTTGGCCTAGCGTTTGCCTGACAGGCACAGCCTGGCTTGGATTTCCCAGCACTGTATAATAAAATCAGGAGCATTGGTATATTGCCTTGATCCCCGCACTCAGGGGTGGAGGTCAAGAAAAAGTTCCAAGTCTTCCTTGGCTACATGGCAGATTTGAGGCCAGCCTGGGCTACATGAGATACTGGAGCGTTAAAACAAACAACTAAAACCGTTTTCAAGTATCGTTTCACGTCTTTGAAATAATAGATATGACTAATTACATATCATTTTTCTCCTGTTTGCTAAATTTAGCTCCCCCAGCATTAGTTCTAGTCTCTAACTTAATAACACTGTTATTAATAGATGGGATTTTATATTCTAAGGACTCTGCCTTTCCACAGTTTGCCAGCCTGTGAGGAGCCCGGTGCGAGGGGCTGGAAGAACGTGGTGATGGAGAGAGGCTGGATCCTGTGCCTCAGAGACCATCTTCAGGTCGAGGAAAGCCTGCTCTTCACAAGAGTCATTCTAGTGATACTTTGTTTGTATTTTAATAAATAAAGTCTGCTTGAAGATCAGAATGCAAAGCTAAACCACTAGACGCCGTGGAATGGTGTCACAAACCTTTAATCCCAGGATTTAGGAGACAGAGTTCAAGGTTACCCTGGACTACACAGGATCCATCTGGAAACAAATCCAGGTGGTAGTAGCGCACATCTTTAATCCTAGTGTTTGGGAGTCACACACTTTTAATCCCAGCACTAGGGAGGTGGAGACAGGAGCAATATGGCTGAGCGGAAAACGGAACATAAAGGGGAAGAGACAGGAACTCACTGGAGTGAGGAGTCTGAGGATTCCTGGAGACAGGATCTTGCCCTTTTCGGTCTGAAGATTTGGCAGAGGTGAAAGGTCTCTAGTGCTTGGCTGCTTTGCTTTTCTGATCTTCAGTTTGAACCCCAACGTCTGCCTCTGGGTTTGTATTATTCATGCAATAAGTCGTCACTAACAGTTCTCCTCCCCCCAACCCCCACCAGCGACCCAAAGAACCGCCTCTGCTCTTTGCATTTGCCCCTTTAACTGCAAAGTCAGGGGATCACACTGGGTTTGGCCCTTCTACTCTTTCCAGGGGCGGCTGGCTACACTGCAAGGCTAAACTCTGACCACAGAGCTTCCCATCCGGGGGTCCAGATGAACCTCAGACACTGAGCCCCACACCGCACTCAGTCCTTGCAAGGGTTCGACTTATTTACACAAGCTGGCTGTGAAGTGTTGCTAGGTAACCGTATCTAATGTTAAAGGCCAAAGGTGACACGTAAGGCCGAGTGATGGTAAGAAAAGATCGTGAGTCAGCGACACCCGACGAACAAGAGCCGGTGCTCGTCCTGCCTGCTTCTTGCCGGGATGGTGAGGGGGCCTTGCAAAAACGGAGAGCTGTTCTTCGTGAAACTTAACCCATACAGTTGGGCAGAGAGGCGGCACACTAGGCGAAAGCCAGATTGTTGGTCCTGCTGCCGCGCCTCAGGCGGCAGAGCAGTGCCATGGGGAGCGCTACAGAAAGGCTGCAGCCTTCCTCGCTCCACCGCTCTAGAGAACACATTCCTCCCATCTCACCCAACCTGGGAACATAGCAAAGGGAATTCTAGGAAATACGACAGGGGACGGACGCATTGTCAAACCGCCGCACCATGGTGGATGCCTTAGCGGACCTCTACACATCGCGTTCAGCTGCTGATCCTAACTCTCCCAGTGGGGGATTAGGAGGCGCAGTCTCCGGAAGGAGCTCAGAATAGTGTTAGTGTCCAGAAGAAGGAACCAGAGTACAGAACCAGGAATAAGGTGGTCATATCTCTACTGTACTACCTTATCTCAGGCTCACGGCTGCCTGAGGGATGTCTGTCGTGGAACTCACTCTATTTAGAACGGTTTTATTCTAACTGTCTGACTCTGTGCCTGGAGACAGATCGGGCATGCCCAATGCTCTCTCTTACAGCTGGTTCACCCGCAAACAGAACCCTTCATGTGCTAGTCTGATGTGTCTGTAGTGGAATTACATACCGCCTTGAGACTCGACTGAAATAGACAATAGGTATATTTTAGGGTTTGTTTTGTTTGTTGCTATTTTGTTTTGTTTGTTTTCTTTGTGTTTTTGAGACAGGGTCTCACTGGGTAGCCCTGGTTGGCCTGGAACTCACTTTGTAGACCAAGCTGGCCTCGAACTCACAGAGATCGCCTGCCTTCTGCCTCCCGAATGCTGGGATTAAAGGTGTGCGCCACCACCCCCGGGCAAAAGATTTATTTTTATTTACATATCTGAGTGTTTGTGTGCGTGTGTGCCATGTATGTGTGGATGACCACAAAGAAGAGCATTGGATTTCCGGGAGCTGTACTTACAGGCAGTCGGGAATGACCAGAGTGGTCCTGGGAATAGAACACAAGTCCTCCAGAGGAAGAGGGGCGAATGCTTTTAACCACTGGGCCATCTCTCCAAACCCGATGTCTTACTTTTAAACAGCTGAATAACGAAAAGACGCCACCAAGGTGTTACCACCTAGAATGAATTGAGGACCGGTCATAGTCATGAATTTTTTTCTGGGGCCAGCTGGGGTTCCGGGTAGGGGCTGTAACACCGGAAGTGGCGGCTTTCTGGCATCAGCTGCTTCCTGTCAGACTCCACTGGAAACCCATCCCACAGTTAAAGTCGTTGCGGACCGGGCGGTGGTGGCGCATGCCTTTAATCCCAGCACTCGGGAGGCAGAGGCAGGCGGATCTCTGTGGGTTCGAGGCCAGCCTGGTCTACAAGAGCTAGTTCCAGGACAGGCACCAAAAACTACAGAGAAACCCTGTCTCGAAAAAATTAAAAAAAAAAAAAAAAAAAGTCGGTGCGGGTTCCCAGATGAGTTCTCCCAGCTGAGTGAGCACCAAGCTTCAGGGTCGAACTCCACTCCGCAGTTGCCGCAAGTTACTCTTGCAATGTTGTTTTGATTTTTCATTAGAAAATAAGGAACCAAATTCCAGGGACCGATGAGTCCAAGCTGAGTTAACAAAGAAACAAGGGCAAAGTTAAACAAAACTGCTGACTGCGCCAGCCCCTATGAAGATCACTGCCCTAGATCACAAGGTTAGAAAAAGAATTCCTTCTGAACCACCCTCCAAAGAAAACGGAAACACCTTCAGGGTATCTGGGGAAAGTACCTGAGGAGAGCACCCCCACCTCATCTGTTCCCACTTACAGGCTGCAGCTGAAGAGAGGCGAGTAGGAAGTGCCATAGTGAGGACAGGCATGGGGGGGGGTTGCTTTTCTCTCTCTCTCTCCCTCCCTCCCTCCCTCCCTCCCTCCCTCCCTCCCTCCCTCCCTCTCCCTCTCTCTCCCTCCCTCCCTCCCTCCCTCCCTCCTTCTCCCTCTCTCTCCCTCCCTCCCTCCCTTGTCACATCTCTATTTTAGGGAAATAGCTGCCATGCTTTCTTGGTGTGGCCCCGTGGGCTTATATGACATAGCATGGGTCTGATTGCAGCTCCTGCTCACACCTGAGAGACGCAGAGGCCATATCACACAGCCAGGCCTCCCTCTCCCAGAAGCAGAAATTTGACAGTCACAATATACAACAATGTTAACGGTTTCACCCCACTAAGATTGGGGCTAAATTTAGTGATTATCGGTCGGTATCTGAAGTAGGTGCTGCTTTTAACTAAACCTCCCCAGTGGAAGTGGCTTTGGAAATGGACAAGAGACTTTGCTGAGAGTGGCTGAGAGCCTTCGATAACCTCGGCAGGCTTCCCGTGCTTGCGGGAAAGCAAGGCCTAGGCTGTGAGAAATGCAAGGATGGGCCTGGTGGTAGTGATACCTTTAATCCTAGAACTCAGGAAGTAGAGGCAGGCGAAGAATCTCTGTGAGTAGTTCAAGACCAGCCTGGTCTACAGAGAGAGTTCCAGGATAACCAGGGCTACACAGAAAAACCTGTCAAAAAAAAAAAAAAAAAAAAAAAAAAAAAAAAAAAAAAAAACAAAAACAAAAAAGAAAAGAAAGAGAGAAAGAAAAGAAATGCAAGAATGGGTTGTTCTAAAGCAGCCACTACTGAGCAGTGCTATCTGCCACAGCCATGGGGACAGAAGCAGATTACTGGGTGCTTTACTGGGGACATTTCAAATCGGAATGTTGGGATTTGCCTGTTTCCGACAGTTGCTTCAAGTAAGATGCTGATGGGGACAATTCAGCAGAAAAAGCAGTTGGCACTGTGCCTGGGGAGACCTGGACAAGTGTCTCTTCACCCCAGATGACAGACCAAAATAAGGGTATCACCGAAGTCTAACCTGGCAAGCCAATGAGTTTATTGGGTGAGAGGCCATTTATAGAATCAGAAATAACTCACAGGCAGCTGTGTCATGAGAAGCCCACCCCAACATGAGTAACAGCTCATAAAAGCTGAGTGCTGAGCTCAGCATACCACTTAGAGACAGCTCAATGGGCTGGAGAGTCCCTCGGGGCAACCAGTCTGGTCTGAGTCACTTTAGCAGTCCTTACTGCTTATCTGACTTGGGGGCTGGTGAGCTGTGATACAGTCAGTTTCAGGAACTTCCTGGGAGTCTTTAGTTGTTTACTTGAGTCTGAAGAGCCTTCTTTAGAAGTCACTGGGTCTTAACAGAGGAAACTGTTACATAGCAGGAGCTGGGACTTTGGAAATCATCAGCCTTCTCAGAAGCAAACTATGTCCAAGTGTGAAATAGCTTCCGAGCAAAGATCAGATACAGGGGTGTGCCAGGAAAGCTGTCACCCAGAGATCTGTAGGTATGACCAAATATTTTAGCAGCAGGGGAGATAGCTCAGTAAGTAAAGTGCTTTCCTCCAGTCTAAAGACCTGACTTCAGACCCGAAAAACACAGGTATAGATCTGGGCTTGCCATACACCAGCCTATAACTCCAGCCTTGTGAAAAGGGGAGCGGACCCAGCAGAGCTGAACTGAGGAGTTTCCAGTTCTGTGAAAGACTCTGTCTCAAAAAATAAAGGTGGAGAGTGATCAATGAAAGACACATGGCATTGGCATTGGGCTCCCACATGCCAGTGCACATAGATGCACATGCACCTGAACATACATGTGCACGGCACACACACACACACACACAATTACAGGCAAGTCTTCCTGGTGAAAACAGATGCAAACATTCTCAGTAAAATGCTTGCAAGCTGAAGTCAAGAACACATCAAAAAGATCATTCATCATGATCAATGTGGCTTCTTCCCAGTGATATAGAGATGGTTTAACACATGTATATCAATAATGGTATACATCCCATAAATAAACTCAAGACAGAAATCCCACTATCATCTGAAAAATGATATAGAGATGGTTTAACATGTGTATATCGATAATAGTATACATCCCATAAATAAAATCAAAACAGAAATCCCACTATCATCTCAAAGATGCAAAAAGAAAAACTTCTGACAAAAGCGCAAATTTCTTCACCAAAAGCTCTCAAAAAAACTAGAAATAGAAGGACCATGCCTCAACATGATTATGGCTTATAAGAATGAACTTATATCTCAGTTATACTAAATGGTAAAAATCAAAGCAACTCCACCCA